TAAAGACTAAAGAGATAGGAAACCTATTCAGTCCAAAGTTCTTGGAACAAAGCCTGGATAATACTCTTCCGAGAATCACTCACTCAAAGTCCAGCGTTGTTGTCGTCCCGCTGGCCCCGAAGTTTCTCTTCCAGGAAACCTCACGTCTTCAATTGGCCACTCTCCAAGCTTCAAACTTCTTCGCCGAAAACACGTCGGCTTCACACACGCAGCTGTTGCCACGCGTCTTCGCTCGATAGCGGTAAACACACACCCTTGCCTGTAGCTCTTGTCGTCACCCCTCAGGTGGAAATCATCTTCTTCTCCTGCTTTGTCTCCACGGACAAAACCTTCGCCGACTACACGGCGGAATCCCTACGCGCTCTGGCGCTAACTTCCGTCTTCTCCTGATCTCTCGTCTCGGCTGCTCGATTAAATACCTTCCGCGCGAAATTCCAGAAAGTTCTCATCATTTCGTCGGCGCGATGCGCAGCGAATGCTGGGGGAAAGGTCGAGAGGATACGAGGGCCGTCCGCGTCGGATGACTGAACCCGGCATTACCACGCCTCTTTCTTTCTAGAAATTTCGAGTGCTTGCTCGGCCGCCGATGTGGGGTGAGGAGGTTCGTCGGCGAGCCTACGCTTCCGAGGGAGAGAGTCGTGCGCCCAGGAGTCTTTGAATGTTTGTTTTCTTTTCTCTTTTTTTTATCGTTGACCTCGCGGCGTCACTCCGGCGTTTCGACGCGAGAATTTGGCGGCGCGCCCTTTTTTGAGCGCTCGTTTTGTGACAACGCTACATTGGAGTATATTGGGCCCTTCATGACACTCTCGTGGCCGTTTTGCTAGCTCAACATATACCAAATTTGGTACGTGACGCCAATGGATGACGAAATATATTACAGGTGCAAACATGATAATCCTGACACGTGTGTCATGTAAGAACATGACAACATACCACGCTCATAACGTGCTCACGGCCGTTTCGCTAGCTGCCGATATATTTAATTTGGTATCACGTGACGTGAATAGATGAGGAAGGTAGACACATCCAAACATGATAATCATGACACGTAAGTCATGTACGGCCTCATTTACCGCCACCTCGTAACGTTGTGCTGATTTTAAAGTGGCTTATCAACACTTCTCATTCGTGCTTCGCATATCGTTGATTCCCATTGTACGTGCGATCTGCCAGTTTTAATCAAGAGCACTTTTTTAAAGGAATGAAGCTGAATTTACAGCGTAAATACCGCAAATGTACAACGATATCTGAAGCAATTATTATCGACCAATGCAGCATAAACATTTTCAATCAATTAAACGACACCTTCTTTGACGCAGTATTCGCTTTTTTTTCAGTTATGCAATCTGTAAGAATATTTATTAAGATTTTGCAGCGTAAGCTCCACGTGTGACACAGAGAAGAACGGAGATTTTTTCTAGATAACGGTAAGAGAAAAAAAAAAAGCCCGCTGCTTCTGGGCTTTGTGCTAAAAATCCTCTCCGACACGGGGGGGGGGGGGGGGGGGGGGCTCCGAAAGCAGGCACTCATTTGCTGCTTTTTTCATCGTCAGCAGTTGAACAGCTGCTTACGGGACGGATTTTTGCTGTCCCATAATAGGGTACCTAGTACTCTAAATCGTTAACTACTTTCTCCAAACAAACGCAAGGCGAAGAGGCTTTCCTTCGACGATGGCGCAAACGTTTCTTTAAAGTAAGAGAGGGACAGCTGAAGTTTCCAGTTGTCCCGTACTAGGCATGCGCCCACTCTAGTACGCATGCATAAGTGTTATCCTGTTAAATGCGATTAACTTGATTCTTTTTAATTGTTCTTTCACTTGTAACATTTGGATACTCAGTGATCAATTAGATTTTGGTGTTCATTTGTAAGATGTATAAACTGTCTTTACTTGTTTTCGATGTTTCGTTTGTAAATGTACAAGTTAAGTGTACAATAAACTTCCCTTTCTCAATGTACGCTGCGTATAGCAAGGGTTGGGGCCAGCTTTTAGCGGGATGGCTCAGTGCTCTCCCGTAGCTGAGTACGAAGTACTCGAAATCGTTAAACATTTTTTTGTAAACATGTGTGCGCACCCACTTGGTCCAACACATTTGCAACGTTGTAATTGGGACGGCTCACTGCCCTCACATAGTAAAGTACGAAGTACTCAAAATCGTTAAACACTTTCTCTAAGCACACATTGCCATCCTCAATGACGTGCGCACGTGCTTCGCTGCATCATCATGCACTACTGCATATGATGTAATTTTGTCAACACGCATTCATCAAGTGTGAGGCCCACGGGATGGCTTCATGCTCTCCTATAGTAGGGTACCACGTACTCTAACCACCGTATTCTAGAACGTCCGTTTACTCAATGCTTCACCTCGACTTGAAAAAAGTTGATGGGAGCGCCGTCTGTAGGCAGAGCAAAGCACTGCATATCACCGAGAATCTTCAGCAAATCTCGAGAAGCACAGCGTCATTTTCAGTCGAGCAGCGGCGCAGTCCTCATCGCTGTCACGTGAAGGACGAAATTCAAGTCGAGGAGCGTTTGTGAATACGGGGGTAAATCGTTGAACACTTATTCTAAACGCACACTTCCTCAGGTTTCGGTGGCGTGATTTGGGACGGCTCCTTGCACTCCCGTCGTATAGAGTACGACGAGCTACTCTGAATCGTTCACCACTTGCATTTTTTCTAAGCACACATGTCATGTGATTGTCTTATTCGGGACAGCTAATGGCTATGTCATCGCAGATTGCGCATAGTATTCTAAAGCCTCCTAAATTTGTCCTGAACTCTTTGAGTCACCAAACCACTGTGTTTACGGTTCTTGCACGTCTTAGGGATGGTATCTCGCTTTCGCATAGAAGCGTACGGGTAGTGTGTTCTGGAACGTCAACTATTTTTTCTAAGCACAACACTATACGTAGCACGGCAAGGGTGGCTTAGAGCTCTATTACAGAGCTCAATCGTCAATCTCTTTTCCCAACACAATGTAACTGGTGACCAATGCATCCCATTGTCATCATTTGCGTATCAAGGCATTGCCGAGAAACCTTTCCAAGTGAAGCCTGCCGTAAGTCACACAGTTCAGTGGCGCCGTACGTGAAGAATCAGGTGCCGGTGAGCGTACCGAAATGCGGCCTTCAAAGGCGCACGGACGGGTAACGTGGTGTATTTGTATACCGCGTTATTCGATAATATACTCTCTCTCCATCGTGGGCTTGTCAGTGATCAGCAGTTTCCATAATACGGCAATTATGATTTTTTGAGGTTGAGGGGATAATGTGTCATTTCACGTTGTCACACTTCATTGTAGCCAGGACATGAACGCATGATCTTTGTTACCTGTAGCTATTGATGTGTCGCTCTGCCAAACGCGGGGATGGAAGACCCATTACCGGTATTGAGTAAGGAAGCGGAAAGGAGGCCGCATTGTGCAAGCTGAAAGAAAGAAAGAAAGAAAGAAGGAAGGAAGGAAGGAAGGAAGGAAGGAAGGAAGGAAGGAAGGAAGGAAGGAAGGAAGGAAAGAAGGAAAGAAAAAAATAAAAAAAGAGAGAAGCAGTAGTACGTCAGGTGCGCATGCGCCAATGTTCGCTTGCCCCCATATTCCCAACACACGCAAGAGCCCCTGCATTCTTTAGGAGCGAAGCTCCTTAGGCCTGCATCCCGCCGCCGCCGCTGTCGAAGCTCCCTGCCGCATCACCGGTCACAACCCTCTCCTACCTGTATCATTTTCCCTCTTTCTTCGTCTTTGCCCTCTTCCTCTTTTTTCGCTTCTGCCTTCTCACACACACTCTCAGTCGTTCCCGCCACAGAGCTCAGCAAACGCTCTCCCCACCCACTTCCCGCCCTATCGCTTATATAGTAGTAGAATACCAGGGTATTTTTTAATAGTAGAATACCAGTAGCTTAATACAAGGGTATATATTTGTAAAATACCAGGGTATTTTTCCGCGCTGTGCTCCGTACCGGGCTGCAGAAATTAGGTGCCTTTTTTCCTCTTCTAACTACTACCGCCACCACATACGACTGCTTATACATCATCCTTTCTTATCAAATGTTCTTTGGCTTGAACACAGAACACATTATTTAACTTGCGGACGCTTGGCTGTTACTCCAATGCAGTACTTTCGCGAGAATAAATATCGTCCCGTGGTTGTCACGACAAGGATGGCGGGAGTCAGATCGTTATGAAAAAACACTTTGTCCGTTGGAATTGTGCCCACAAAAACAAGCGACACGCTCACTGCAACGAAAGCGTCAAGCGAAATGAAAAGAACATTTTTCTAGTCCGCAAGTGCGCTTCTCTGCGATGCATATTCGCCCTACTGGTGGCGGCAACGGTGGTGCTTCAAGTGGAGACGAGGTCCTAGTTGCACGTGCTGGGGCTGATCTTTCGCCCGTGTCTATATCAAGCCAGTTGAATCAACATTTACCGCGTCATAGCGCAAGAAAACTGTCGCTCGAATGCACTGCTTGTAGATGCGTGTAGTAAGAGACTTGCTGCCAATAGTAGGGCAAACTGCATAACAGAGAAGTGTACTTGAAGATTAATCTGATTGTCCGTGAAGCGCGTTGGCTTGTATGTATTCCTGTTTGAATCATTCATAATTATCGCTGGTGCTGGCCTTAGTAATGTAGATGTGAGCACGCGTAATAAAATAATATCTAGGGTTTTACATCCCCGAAACCACGATATGATTATGGCAGACGCCGTAGCGAAGAGCTCCGTAAGTTTTCATCATCGAACAGAACACAGGTCTCTACCATTTCGCTTCCATCGAAATGCGACCGCAGTGCCTGGACCTACGGGTCACAGACGAGCAACCTAGCCACTGTTTCACCTAAACGTGCAATCAGTGCGCTTAAATGCATCATAAACCATTTATTATCAGATTCGCATCTTTACTTGTTACATTTCTTAATTTTTTGAATGTTAAAAAAAATGCAGTGCCTTTTTTCTGTTTTTTTTTTACATTCGACTAATACCTAGCAACTACCTTATTCCACAGTTTCGAATATCAACGGCCGATCTTTCGATACCATCACGGGAAGCCTGGTACCTGCTGAAATGGCTGCGTGGTAAGTTTGTTACCAGTGCGTGCACACGTGTCCTAGGTTTGCGAAAATTTATGAAATTACGGCGTTTCACGGGAAGCAGTCAAAGTATGATTATGAGGTGCGCTGCGGTATGGGGCTGTGGATTCATTTGTACTGAGTGCGCTTGTTCGTCGTTCAGTTAGTTTGGCGCATACGGGTCTTTTTTACACCTCTATCGATATGCGGCCATCGAGACGCGTTGGAATCGAACCCACCCTTTCGTTACAGTCGCGCATCGTTACACCCGCTAAGCCGACAAGGGGGGTCCCCCGAATCGCTCGCATACATGACAGGCTGAAAAAAATAAATAAAAGAAGACACCTGACAAAATATTTGAATTTTGTATATAGTTTAGAGAGTGTATACATAGAAATGTTAAATGTTCAGTTATCTATGATTTTCAGACCTATAATATGTAAACACTTCTCTTGAGTGTCGTTCGGGTCTGTCTTTTTGTTACCTGTTAACAGTTGTAATTTCATTATGTACGTGACCACTTATTTGTTCATTACTATCTATCTATCTATCTATCTATCTATCTATCTATCTATCTATCTATCTATTCTATCTATCTATCTATCTATCTATCTATCTATCTATCTATCTATCTATCTATCTATCTATCTATCTATCTATCTATCTATCTATCTATCTATCTATCTATCTATCTATCTATGTATCTATCTATCTATCTATCTATCTATCTATCTATCTATCTATCTGTCTGTCTATCTGTCTGTCTGTCTGTCTGTCTGTCTGTCTGTCTGTCTGTCTGTCTGTCTGTCTGCCTGTCTGTCTGTCTGTCTGTCTGTCTGTCTGTCTGTCTGTCTGTCTGTCTGTCTTTAGTGGTAGTAGCCTAGTGGTTGTATGTCCACTGTAGGTTAATACTTGTCACGGTCAGTTCCCAGAAGCAATCATCATCATAATAATTATCATAATCACCGTGCTAATTGTCGTTCATGCTAATCGCTGCCTTCTGGCGGCACGCATTACTTCGACAGCCAGGAAGTTCGACACGAAAGAGGCCAAGAAAATGCTGGTCGAGGTGAGTGGATATCATGTGCACATTTCTCTGCCTTGAGGAACGTCAGAAGTTATCAAAGGTTCGCGAACGACGTCATCGACGCTATCATATTGATTCTACAGTCAGCCAGTCAACTTGGTGAAGGAGTTTAGGGAGAGAGCTACAATAGTTGGCAAGCGTTCGTCATAAAAGAGGAAAGACGTGGCAAACACGGATGCAAGAAAGAACTCAACACACCACAAACGCGATTGCTGGAGTCTTCTTTCATGAGTCCGTGTTTGCACGTCCAGTCTTTTGGCGAAGAAGCTGACACGTGATTGCGATTCGTGTAGTTATCACCAACAGCACACGTACAAGGTGCGAATATTTATGCGCAGTAATATGATGTTGCACGTGATGTCATATGCGGTAATGTAATGAAATTAACACCGCGATGACTCTGACATTGAAAGCTAGGTTGTATACTAATTAACCAATCACCTGCTAGCGCCAAGATTTATAACGAAAAATTCCACATAATGCCCGGCCGTGTGGCCGTCGTACATTGTACGCTCAATCCGATCGCACATGGACACTGCACACTCCAAGTTGCGACTGGTAATACTTGTGTTTAGTCTCGACCATCCTCTCTTTACGACGTTAATAGCGAATATCAATGAAAATTTCTGCGGCTTTACGTGCCAAAAACAAGTAGACCCCCCCCCCCCCTCCCTCGGCATGCGGAAGGGGGGGGGGGGAGGGGTCTACAGGTTACCTTTGGCAAGCTAGGTCACTTAACGTTGACCTAAATTTGAGCACCCTCATGTTCTTGAACTTTGACCTTAACCGAAATTCGGCTGTCTGGGTCGGGGCTAGAACTCCCATCCTCGGTATTAGCAGCGTGACAGCTTACGTGCAAAGCAACCACGGCAGGTCAATTCTCAACTAGGTATAGCATCGTTCACAGGTGCCTTATCATCCAGCATGTTATTTTGGTGCTTGTTTTGTTGTTTTTTTATTTAAAGAGAAAACGCTGTGTGTCTGATTGCAAAGAAAAATATGGCGTTTGTCTCCGATTGTTGAAGGCCCCCTAAACCACCCAGTGGGCGAAATTTACTTGCGGCGTTGCAGTTGCGCATAATGTGCCCCCTGACATTCGGAACCCGGGAGCGAACAATCGCTATGGATCCGTTGTTGTTGTTGTTGTTGTTGTGAAGCACGCATCCAAAAACGATTATGACTGTCAGCCAAACAGGTGATGATGATTGATTGCTGCTTAGATGAGGATGAAGTGCATACTAGATGTGTGCAGCATGTACTTCAGCCCGATAATTTATTTAATTGCATGCTATAATATTTAGACAATTACACTCAGCTTTATTGGGAAATAAGTTGACGTTAGGATGCCAACCGATGGCGCGAACAAAATGGTATCGCTTTGAATCCTAAATTAAGAAAGTATTTACTGCCACATCGAAACCATCATCGATGTTTCCTTGCACAGCACATCGCTTGGCGGAGAAAGAACGAGGTGGACAGCATACTGGAGGACTACCGACCCCCCAAGGTTAGTAAGTACTACAGGCGGCAGTTTTCGTTGAGCAGTATGAGGCAGCTTCACATTTTGCGTGTCACCTAGGATTATTTATGGACCAGTTAATAAAGCGAAAACCTTAAATGCCGCATCAAACGCGATAAGTAACAGTTGGTGGTGGCGTCAGCACAGGGCTGAAAAAAAAAAAAAAAACATCACGTGATTGCGGTATGCTATGTGACGTCATTGTGTCGTCACAGCTCGCCAAAATTGGAGACGTCGTCGACGTCGTCATGACGTCCCCAATTTCTTCATACGAGCGATGACGTCATCACATGACGTCGTCGCTCGGTGGAAGGTGGGACGATCCCGGAGAAAAAACAAAACAATTTTCCGTGCAGAAAGCTTTTTTTGGGGGGGGGGGGAGGGGGGGGGAGTCGAGAGGGAGTGGGAAACAATGCCTTTGATTGTTGCGAGGTATTCTTCTAAGGTCATGGCGATCACTTTCGAGTCCTCTCAGGCATTGGCGTGATCACGGAGGACGGGGGTGGCTTCCCCCATTGTCAACTAAGATAATGGGGGGGGGGGGGGGGGGTGCAAGTCAGCCTCATACATTGACAGAATAGGCGAGGGGGGCGGTGGCGCTTCGATCAACCTTCGCTACCTCTGCAGGAGAACCCTACACATGCCTATGCTCTCTGGCAATGTTACATCAGGCCGTGTGACTTCTACAGTGATTAGTTCAACACAGTGCCACTTTAAGGGGTTATCCTCAGAGTGCTGGGTGCATAGCATGAATGTGATGAAGAAAAAAAGTACTGCTTGCAATGAAAAATTAACAGTTCGCAATTTCTACAATGAAAATTTAGCCGGCGATGGAAATATGGCATTATCAAACGTGAACTAACATGACTTCGGCCCCTAATTAGTAGCATTACCAAAAGACGATACGCCCTCACAATGAGGGCAAGAAAGGTTCAACACCGGCCACTGGAGTGCAAATAAAATATCGGAATCAAGTGGACATTTTCACAATACAGAAGAAGCTTCTCCTGCCATAATAGGAGACATAAAATATGCAAGAAGAAATTGGTGCGAGGGCATTTTGTTTTTGCCAAATCAGTTCGGCGTCTTGCCCTGAAGTTTGGTGGTGTCTCCACAGGCCAACTACATTTTCGTTTTGGGGTTAAGGATGAACAACATTGCAATCTAAGGTTACTAAACAGCAAGCATTTCAGTCTTTTGAAGCTTTTACTGGGACATGGCATAGAAATCGCGAAAATAAAATGTCGAAATTTGTCGCGCCACACAGGCCTACTTGTGCTTAGGTTTGGCGCAAAAGAACAATAAAAAACAAAAACACGTGCCAAAAGTTTGATTTACTGTCTTTTCTACTAGTAATCGTACTAATGCCTCGAAATTTCCAGAAGTGTAAAGAAAGAGAGAGAGAGAGGAAGACAAGTGAATGGAAAGGATCCTAACCAGGCCGCACTGGGTTTGCTACCCTGCACTGTGGAGACAGCAAAATGAGAGATTAAGAATAAAAAGAGTTTAAAAAAAGAGCCATCTAATACGCTCGCATGCATAGCAGTGTTCACCGCACGTACGCAGAAGATTTCAAGCTGCGAACTATCGCAGACTACGGTGATCCTTCGACTGCCTAGGCTGTGATCCCTGATGCCATTAGCAGCTCGCAAAAACTGGCTCACGGGTGTCCAGGGCTTACAGTGCACTTCGAGCTGACAGGATCTTGGGTGTCATCGCTGTGTTGACGTAAATTAAAAGCACAATTCACGCTTCGCCGGAATGTGAGAAAGTAGTTTTGAGGGAATATATCATTCTTTAACGCTACCTGACAGTCTTGCCATTAAAACTTTCTCGAATTTCTGTTGTCTTTGGTGTCTTAATAGATTTTCTGTTGATAAGCGATTGAATGGGACGTAGGTGCTCCTGGAGTACTTCCCTGGTGGCTTCGTGGAATGCAGCCCTGATGGCAGGCCGGTGCTTATAGTTCCTGTGGGACAGGCAGACTTCAAAGGTATGAAGCCAAATAATGATGTGCTAGCTGAGTGCGTTTCGTAAACCCTCTCGTGTTTTCGAAAATTACAGTGCTGTCATGATGATGATTTTGACGAGGATGATCAGTGGTGTGGTGATCATTAGCAAACCCTTTGAAATGGAGTCAAATTACTGACGATTATAGTTCACCTGTATCCTGTTCGTTACCACCATATATTGTGTCTTTTGTTATAGCGTGCCGTACGTGCTACCATGTCTTTTTTTACGTAATCTTCTGTTTTCACATCTTTCTGTCATGTAAGTCTTTGTTGGAACACTTTCTATCAATCTCATCTCACCTGTAGCCTACACAGCAACCTTTAAGCAATCTTTTTGCCGTAAGACTTACAGAACGTTTACTTTCTGAGTTGCTTGCCCACCAACGAACGTGTACGTGAGTACTGAGGTGTCTTTGTCAAAAGTACGCCAGCAGTGTTGCCTGGAACAGTATACTGTTTACTTACAGGCTGTTGAACGCATGCCAAGTGTTCAAACACCAGGGCTAATGAATAAATAAATAATACTACTCAATAATTGGATCGAGTTGGAGTTAATATGATGCTAATGCTGCTACAACTGATTAGATATGTTATCCAACGTTAGAAATCATTTAGTCATTTATAGAATGTTATCTATAACAATAGCCAATACCAGCCAGCATTAGTCAGGGCTATAGCGTGTACTGGTTGTACACCAGTAAATGCAGTAGTTGATGTCAAGTGGTTCATAACTGCTCATTTCATTTATGAACACGCAGGTATGCTTGAAGCCGTGTCACGCACTGACCTGCTGCGTCACTGCATCTATCTGTTGGAGTCACAAGAGGAGCTCAAGAGAAATCTCACACTGCAGGTCAGTGTGAGAGATGATGGTTGGACTTATTGGTATGAATTATTAACTTGAATCTTATCTAATTGCTAAGCCCTGGCTGTTACATTTACTTATTAATAATAATTTCCCAGGTTAGACGGCTCAAACACACAACATGATTATTACAGGCACGATAGTAAAGGGCTGTCTTGCTGCTTACTCAGAGCTCTCGCGCGCCTTTCCAGTCCGGTCGTGATGCAGTTTTGTCGATGTCTTAAAAAGCCGCCAGGTGGTGACTTCTCGAGCAACTAACGTATATAGCTGGTGCAATGGTCCGTGACTAGCTAAAAATAAAAAGCGAAGTACACCATTCTTCATTTGTACTATGCGCATCAAGCTGCGGCTGCTCTTTACTATGGCGTAACATTCACGATGAACCAATGACAAATTCAGCAAGGCACTTTCGAGAAAAGAGCTGCTTTGCCACTGCGCCGAGACTGGCAGGCGTCTATTAGGTTTTCCTGTGGTGTTTCTTTGTCTAGAAGCTATTTAATCGACTCGCACTCCATCATTGGGGTTACTGCTCTCCCTCAGAAAAGTAATGGATGTAGTTGTGTTGAGTGAGGTCTTCGCCCCCAAACCTCGACTTGATTAGGGGAGATGCCATAGCAGAGGGCTCCAGAAACTTCAACTATACCTGCGATTTCTTTAACGTGCACCTAAATCTAAGCACATGGACCTCAAGCAATTTCGCCTTCATCGAAAATGGGGCCGCCATAGCCGGGATTCAATCCCGTGACCTGTGGGTCAGTAGCCAAGTACCACAAACGCTAGATCACCATGGTTGCTATATTACATTTTCCTTTTCCACCGTATTTCGCTAATTAGACATGCATCAATGCGGGTCCTTGCTCAGATTATGAAGCAAAAAAAAGGCAAAACACAGAAAGGAAACTGTAACGAGAAGCAACAAATACGCATTGTAACAAATACGCATTAACTCATCTAAGCACTGCGTGAGCTGGTTTGCTGGTGCGTGAGGGTACAGTGATAGTTGCAGCCCGAGATACGATGAGGTCAAAGATTTTGGATTCAGTTTGCTGTCATGAGCTAGCGGAGCTCGAAACTAAAGCGTTACTGTTGTTAGGTTCCTGTCAATATCATGTAGCGCATTTGTACAGATAGCTTGCACCAACGTCACGAAAACTACCATGTTGAATTACCAACGCAATGGAACCGAATTTTCCAATGCCACGTTACTATTATCAGCAGACCGCATGTAGGCAATTTTTTTTATTCATGCACAGAGGCCAATAACATTCCAGACACGTCGCTGTCACGTTGAAGCAAGTTAATAGCAACGGAGGCAGCTTTGACGTCATCACAGTCGCCATGTTTGAGTACCATTGTGTTACCAACGTGACGTGCAACTTTTCGATGGAATTTAATTATATATCTCATACTGCAGCTATCGTGTTCTTACAGCAATCTCCCCACCCCCACCGATGACTCTACGGTTTTCGGCCACGTTTACCGGGACATATTCGTTATCACAATGAATGTCACATCCTAATTGACCATATCGCTGTATACCAGAGGTTAAGTCCGTGACGTTCAGGTTAACAAGATTCCTGGAGCGTAGCCAGAAACTTTTTTCCTGGGGGAGGGTGGTGGTGACGGGGTTCAACAATGCTTTATGTACGTTTGTGTGTGTGAATTCGATTGTGTGCGTGTATTTTGAATATGAGCGTGTACGTGCCGAATCGAAAAAATTTTAGGAGAGCGGCTTGAATTCGCCTGCTTCACTGCAAAGTACCATTAGCCTCTGTTATCAATTATAATCTTAACGTTCCTTGTGACGCTCACAACTGGCCCTATACGTGGAGTTAAAAGTTGCACTGCCAAACTGCATATGGAAATCTCCCTCGCACAGTGACATATATCTTGTTGTTGTCGTCGTTGTTGTTGTTGTTGTGGTGGTGGTGGTGGTGGTGATGACGTCATTCGCTTCTGCGCAGAACGGTGGCGCTCGGATCGAAACCATGCATGTAGTGGCTGACATGGAAGGCTTTTCATTCTGGCAGCTTTCTTCTCTCGAAGGTAAGATGACTCCTGAGTGGAGCCGGATACCTTTATGGGACCGCCATTGGGTGTAACGCTACGGGGTGTGATTGTAGTTGAAACTTTCTAGTAACCAATCGAATACTCCATTCGGCCTTTGAATCAAGAAGGACAGTATATGTTACTAGGTTAGTCGAACAAACGCACGTAGCTACATGCTTGTAAAGCCAGCTTCTCCTGCTTACTGCTTGTGCTGGGGTGAAGCCAGCATTGTGCGGGCCCTTTATTCGAGCGATTGCTCCACTCGTCCCGGGACAAACACCCAAAACTACAGTGTACTAGAAGTATTCTCTCTTTCGCACAGGCGTCGTCATAGCAATTGACATGCGCAGTCTCAGTTTTCCCTCTCTGCACAACCGTCTACGTCGAACGGCGACCGCCTCAAGCCGGCAGGGGTGCGTGCCTCGAAACCTCAAAACCTGTCATGTGACTCCCGCGCCGGCAATACGAAGAGGAATGTAGGCGGTACAGTGACTTATAAGGTCATTGTACCATCTTCTGGTTAAGCGTGATAGACAGCGTGCCGCTAGCTGCTTGCGCGTGTCCTGTGACACCGGCGCGTTGAATGCCCACGCAGCATTGTTTTCCGCAGTAGTTGCTGCTGTCGTTCGGCAAGCTTAATTTACCCGCCTCTCAACCATGACATATTTAAAAAGCGTGTTATATCCTAGATTGTCGTGTCAGTTTCTTAGGTCATTCATCGTAAAATGCAGTTTTTTTCTATGAATTATAAAATATACACAGATCTCGTAAAAATTTTAAAAATAACAAAAATATTGAAGGGTATCGGTCATAAACACGCCATAAAGAAAGCATCCGCCCAACTACAGAATGACGTAGAAGCAAGGCTTCACTTATGTTCATTTTTTTGTATGTGTGTGCGTCTTTGCACGTGTGTGTTTGTATGTGTTGGAACTGAGTAACCACGGTTTTTTTTTAATAAGGTAAAAACAAGTATTATATATATTGGTAAAGCGACTCCTACTAGAACTTGTATGGCAGTGTGTTTTTATCACTATTAAATATTCTGTCCCTATTGTCCGCAGACTCAGTTCTGTGCCACACTTCATTTGTTTTTTTTTGTTTTTTATAGCGCCAAGCCTATTTCCTATTCTGTGGAACATCATCAAACCCCTGCTGACTCAGAGGACCATGGGCAAAGTGCACATATTTGGACGAAGTGAGTGGTATTTCGGTAGCTTGTGGTAAAATAGCTACACACGTCATCCAATTTTGACTTATAACATGGCTTTTACAAACTGAAACAGCAACAAAGCACGGGCTACCTCGGTCATGATTGTGTTCACGTATATATAGCTGTCACACCAGAGCCCGCATTTGTATTGAAAGAACGTAAGTATGGGCTTGATGATGGTTGTATATACATGGTAAAACATGTAGCCCACTGTGAAAGGTAAAGATGAAAAATGAATGAATGAATGAATGAATGAATGAATGAATGACAAGCACCCAAAATGGGGGGAGGGGGCATGAGTAGGGCTATTTGATCGCATGGCTAATAATACTAGTAAGGGTATTCAGTACTTCTTGTTCCTTTATTGGACTTCAGCATATATGTGCATCAACCATTCACTTTAGAGACACTGATAACTACTGTATGAAACGTTGAGCACGAAGAGATTGTGCTCAACCATAAACTTCTACTGAAAACACGCAGTTAAACTTACAACACTTGTCTGACTTCTTATGAAGTTAAAGAAGGTTACTGGCTTGATGCGCCCCACACAAGCAAGCACTTGTACAAACTTGTATGATTATCACCTCCTCTGTCGGCTCATTCGGTCTCCGGCACAGAACGAGAAAACGTGGAATGAGGTAACAACAAAGGCACGCCAGGTGTATAATTGAACTTTTTCCTTAGGGATCACTCTGTATCACCTGATTTCGTCACACAAGACTGAAGTGAGTGTCACCTGAAAAGTGCCGCTCCATTATTTCTCACCTTTGAATGCTTTGCAGGTGGCTGGAAGGAGCTGCTGGCGAGTCGCATGAATGTTGAGCGGCTTCCTGTACGTTGGGGTGGCAAGCTGAGGGGGCCGGACGGTGATGAATGCTGCACAGACTTGGTAAAATTGATTCCTACTATCCTTCCTGCTTTATGTGAACTAAGCAGCTGTCTGGATGTGAACTAAGCGGCTGTCTGGAGGTATACGTACTCAGATCGAATCCTTGTGCCGCCAGAAACCAGCTCATTTCATCGCTATAGCAATCGAATGGACACTTGGAGGCGAAGTCTTGCCGTTGCCATCATGTTCAGTATAAAGTCCACTTCGATAACTTCGCCCCACTCATCGTATGTCATATCAACGAGCCAAAGTGCTTGAGGACGGCCAACAGTCACAGCTCAAGCAGAGGTGAAACGCGCCGGCCATCTCCGTAACATGAAGGTGCATCACGAAGTTCTGTGGGGGGTGGGGAAGAAGGCTGCGTCGCTCGCACACGAACTCCAAAATTTCATCAAACGCCTCGTGCGCTGTCTCGATAGGGATTAGCAGACAACTCATAGCCTTGTACGTCAGGGCTCTCGCCATTGACTTCGCGGTCAAGCGATAGACGGCGCGGAGGTCACTTCTTTCACTGCAGCGGCTGTATAACGTTATGTTTTGTCGAGTCACGCTAGATCAGTTTCCAAAGAAATTAGCTGCTGGCCGTCTTCGCATAACATTCCTAACTGTGGGTGTCGTATTCACTGCATCTCTCGTGTGGCTGTAAAGCTGTGTGTGGCGGCAATCTATTTGTGAGTGTGTAAAAAACCCTAGCCTATGTATGCGCCACAGAAACTCGGAAAACCTCGCTATTGAATGCTTATCCACTAAACAAAAAGATGGAAACACACGGCGGCAAATACGAATTGTCATTGTGCATGAAATACCGAGTACACGTGACGTTCTTGGCAAGAGGACGGATGTCATGCCAAAAATACGTATACAGCTGAAATAGAAAGTGTTGATGGAGCATGCGCTGAATTCAAAAAGGATTTCTGGAGGGACGTTTCACATTTTGTTTCAAGGTGTGTTATAGGCTATCGTTCGATATCCCATGCTTTCTCCATGTCGCGTGCTTCGTGTTGTATGCAATATAAAGATTTGCTGTTCATTCACTTCCTAAGAGTGCAATTGCTTTTTTTTTTTGTTCGAGTGAGACATCCTGCCTAGTGCACACCTACTTGTGGGTTTTCAAGGGTAGGGGGGGAGAGTGAATTTTGTAAGAGGGTTCTATAAAGTACAACATCTGTGGCATTTTCGCAACCTCCTCACCAGCCACCGGACCTTTTATAACCACAGAATTGTTTCTGTGACAGAGAAAGCATGAAATAGTTTCACGGTATTTTGAAATGTATGGGCTATAGTGTGCCTAAATGGCAACGAACTAAAACTACCGTGTGACATCGTTAAGTAGTGCAGGTTTCTGGGATTATCACCTTACTTTCAGAGCCAGTAAGATAGAGGGATAGCGTTCGTTAGTCATTTTTGACCAGTCAATATCGTTGTGAATTGCTGTTAAGGTAACGCATGTGAGCAACAAACTTGGGTTCCGCACGCAGATCTGCCCAGGTGGTGTCATCCCCGACAAGTACCGGCGAAAGGGGTCCGAAGCCGTGGGTGCCGAGTCGCGCACCGTCGGAGCTGGCAGCAGCTGGACTCTGCCGGTATGATATTTCCATCAACGTCTTGCTAACCATACACCCACGCCAAGCGCATAGCCAAAATTTTTTTGGAATGAGGGTGTTGGTGTTGGTGATGTTGCCACAGTAGGGGTTAGCCGGGCAGACCTGGCTGGCACTAGCTACGCCTGAGCTACTCTTTCCATGTAGTTTGGCTCTCCATACATCACGTATTTCGGCCTCTCGTAGAAAACGCAATAATATTATAGTCACTTGCTTTCGCATCAACCGCACACTTGACCGAAACACAATGTATTCACAGCATCCATGGGGGGACCCTCCTTTCTCCACACTGTCTTTCAATTTCTGTCTTGTTCAATCAACGATAATGTGCGTTCGTGCTTTCAACATCGGCCTCCCTCATAAATGGACAAAATCTTGTCTGTTTGCTTTTCTCTTTATTTCCCTCTTCCCCTTCCCCTGACGCTGTGCTGTGCTCCTCATTGTGCAGCAGAAACCAATGCCATATCCTAAACTTACCACTATTACTACGTGTGCCTGCACATATACGCATGCAAAATTGAAAATTCAGTTTTTTTTTTGGGGGGGGGGGGGGGGTTGGAGGTGGTTTCAAACTCTTTGACTCCTCATCCTGGTCCCGTCAATAGCAAGTTCCGTGCTTGTTTCTGCGTACTTGTAAACTGATGCTGCTAACCTCGTTTTAGTCTGTACACATAAGTTACACCTAGCATTGATAGCCCAAGCTAACCCTTTTTTCTGTGACTTAGGCCTACGCATTTTCATTTTTAAAGAATGCCAGAATAGGTTTGTCTGGGGCGATACATTGTGAAACTTGTAGCGTACATTGAAAGGTACAGACGAATAATGAATGAATGAATGAATGAATGAATGAATGAATGAATAAATGAATGAATGAATGAATGAATGAATGAATAAATGAATGAATGAATGAATGAATGAATGAATGAATGAATGAATGGATGAATGAATGAATGAAACATACCCTGAGTAGGGGGTAGGCCATGAATCAGACAGTCTCTTCACATGGTTAGTAAATGGGAGTAATGGCAGCCAATGGTTCTTCCTTTATTTTTCGTCATGCAGGTATCCGTGGCGCGAGCAGGCTCAGAGCTGCGATGGGATTTCTGCACGTCGTCCGGAGACCTGAAGTTCACCGTGCGATTCAGGCCGAACAATGGAGCCAGGGACGCGGACGAGTCACGTGACCTGGTGCCTCCCACGATAATCCCGTGCTCTCGCCATGAGCCGCATAGCGGTAGCCTCCATTGCCAGGAGCCTGGAACGTGTAAGTGTAAATGGTAGCACTCATTCGTAACCGTTGTCGCTTCGGCCAAGTGCCTGTAATCGGACACTTTCCACTGAGTACATGGAAGCTTCAGCGCGTGAGCTTTGGTAAGGGGGGGGGAGGGGTTGCAAAAGAGGCGTTAGCAGCATTAACCTACCGTGTGTCATTTGTCAATGTTGTTGTAGTAACAGTAGTAGTAGGCGCAACACAGGTCTTGTGAACGGGGAGGAAATAAATAAATAAAACAAAATTATAAGGGGGGAGGATTTGATGCTCAAAATTATTATAGTAACGCTTGGGATGAAGGCGGGGGGAGTGATGCTCTAAATTATTTTAATAACGCTCGAGATGATGATGCTTGAATTGAGGCTGAACTGTTTTAGTCTGAATTCAAGCATCATTTCAGCTTGGGCGAATCGCGATATACTTGAAATAAAAACAGGGTAAAAGGCAGAAGACCAGTAGAAGGACACATACTGTAACAGCAATGATCACAGATTCTCAGCGTCATTCCTTCACTTGGGTTCTGTCTTTCGTGCTGTTCATGGTGTATGTTTATATTTTAAATACTGGTAGCATCGCTCTCCTATGGTTCTCACGGTGTGTGGAGCCCTGGATTTTTTCTCTTTTGTTTCTTTGTGGCACAGATGAGCTCGTGTTCGACAACTCGCACAGCTGGCTGACGCGCAAGGAAGTGAGCTACAGCGTGAAGCTGCTGTCTCCACCGACGGGAACTGACGGACGATGATGCAGAATAGACCAGTGAAGCGGCAGCGCGTCGCGGTTATTGCCGAATTCCATTGGGAGACACAGGAGCACTCAAAAGCACGCTGAAAGTGCTCTATTCAGAGCCGGCGTGTTTCAGCGGTCGAAGAGGAGTAGAAGCAATGCCATCCAGGGGTCAGAGGGAGAGCGCTTTTGCTGCACCGAGAGCATCCAGGAGCAGTTTGTAGTGCTATCCTTTAAAAGCGGAGTAGGCGCAGTCCACGAGTCACGTGGCTCGATTTTTCATCAGCCAATGAGCTCGGAGGCAATGGTAGCAACCTTCTGTAGCATGACCATGGTCCCTATAATATACTAGGGACTCTAGTTTGACACCGCTGTTCTCGCTTGCTGGATTCCGTGCCCACCGGTTGTGCCCTCGCGATCTCCGGTGTCAGCGTAGCTCTGGCCGACTGGGCTCGCCCTACGTCACCTCCTGCCACCGACGACCTTCGACGACAGTGTAGCTCTGACCGACTGTACTTGCTCTACGCCATCTACTGATGCCGACAAGAGCTCTCGCAAGTGGTGCCCCGTGCTCGGACTCTTGTGACCATGTTTCCATCTTTCCTATCTCTCCCATCCCCTCAGTTTGTTGACGCTCCTTCTGGCTTACCACCTCTCGCCCTGTTCGCCTTATTAGTGTGCCAGTATTCTAAGGACCCTAGTATTCGTGCAGTTTCTGTGGGTGGCGAAGGCGACGGATAGGGAGAGCACTCAGCTACGTTCTCTGGATGCGTCGTTGCATAAATGAACTATATTTAAGTGCAAAGTGGGATAATGGTGAAACTGTGACTGACAGATCTTGACCGTATTTCGCGGCCGTACTGCAGAGAACGTCTGTGTTTCGAATGATTTGGTCGCATGGTATATTTCCTCCCACTCGTCACCGTCTCACCTGCTCTCCGGAAGCGTGCCGCATTCCTGTGACTGGTAGAGTGGCCGTGCTCTCAGTGTTCTGCCCCCAACTTTTGCCGTCCCTACCCCTCTACTGTTTTCTCAAAAGAATTCGCCCTATGAGCGACGAGGTCGCTAAGGTCGATGTAGGTACTGTATATTGTTCCGTAGGGAGCGTACGCAGTAACTGCCAGTTTACATATGGGAAGGTGTGCGCAGGGCCCTCCATTGTAGAAGGGGGGCAACGTTCTGCCGCAGCCTTCCCTTCCCCCCCCCCCCCTCGAGTGGTATATAGCCAGGAATAGAACTCTGGGCCCGTGCCCCTCCCCCCACACTTCGGGTAATTTTTTCATTTTTTTTTGCCATTGCACACAGAGCATAAAATGGCACTGGATCATATCTGCCCTTGCTTAGTCCCTCCCCTTCAGATAAATGTGGTCCCCCTGCCACCGAAAACCTGTCTCCCTACGCCTGTCCCCCTCCCCCCTTTTTTTGGTTACTATCAACAACAAAAAAGAACAAGCTTCACAGTTTATGCGTACTTCTCGTAACGACCTACCCTTGGTCCTCGGCTTTCCTGGCGTAATTAAATGATTCTTGTAATGAAATATCCGGGGTCTTTGGTCGTCATTATCGTCAAAACCTTGCGTTGCCATACCAATGCACTTTAAGCGACGACGCTACAAGACCAAGGGGATTGGACACACTTCCCACTCTAATTATAAGGTAATTTAAGAAGAGCAGAAAAAGCCACCCCTCCTGCCTCCCCCCCCCCCCCCCCCTCTATTTTGTGAGCACGTCTATGCTGTGTGAGTGCCACTGGAAGACAACATGTCATTTTCCGAAAAAGCAGTATGCCAACAGAAATTGTGGTACAAAGTGCCGCGCAGGGGATGCAGTCTGGGTTTTATTTTGGGAGAGGTACAGCCGGCCATTTTTAAACCTGAAAGCGCGAGCATCGACCGCCGAGTCTGTAAGCGCCTGTTTCAGGCGCCCTGGGGTCCGGTTCCCGGTGAATAAAGTTTACTACCTACCTACCTCCCGGAGCAGCCTAGCAGAAGGCGGCTGCACAGGAACTCATGAACGCATAGCGCAGTGGGGTCGTGCGGGGACCCTGGGACGTAAGTGCCCAAATCCCTTGGTCTAATAAAGTTTTACCTCCCTCATCGCAGGCGAGCACGTATTTTCGTTTGTTTTGGCGCTGTGCTCCATCGACTGGCTTGTCGACGCTCGCACGTTCAGGTTTTGAAAAAAAAAAAAAAAATATGCGTGGCTGTACATGTGCATTTATAAGCGTACCTTATATGTGTGCATACAAACTAAATTTTAGGGGGGGGGGGGAGAATTGAGAGGGCGAATGGCACGATCACTGTCATCTATGTCTGTGTATCCAATGATACCAAACGTGAGACTCCCGTCTTTCTCTTTGCTCGTCAACCATGTCCCCATGGTCTTGCCAAGGACTGGATTGGAAAGATTTATTTTCAGTGGGAAATGAGCACAGCTCAAGCGTTTCGGCGGAGCTTTATATCATCCAGTCTTCCAGTACCAGAGAACTAATCGCAAGGTTGTTTCCACAACAACACGAGCTTAGTTAAAGATACGGAACAACCACCAGACTATCACCATTGTTAAACGCATCTATATCAGACACGGAAAGTTGTACGCTGTTCTATGAGTATACAGGTACACGCCGGAAAAGTTTGGCCATATTAACCTATATGGAAGCAGTAGTGCGCGTTATTGGTATTACGTATATCTCACTGAAACTCCACCGCTGGATAATAGAACGTTATGTCAGGTAGTAATTCCTTAGACCATTATGTTTTCTAAATCGAACTAGCCTTGCAACATCAACAGCTATGAATAACCGAGCAAGCATTAGCGCGGCCACTCGATGAAAACACAGTTGGTATTCATCGAATGGCTGTGGCATTAGCGTGCACAAATAATGGTTTATGTTAGGGATATTAAATATTTGGTTCCTACCCCCACATCTTGTTTTATTGCACCTTTACGATAATATTGCTTCTTGTCATACACGTATCCTTAATAAAACACCAGGCTTCTTTTTTTCTCAATCTTCTCGAATGTATCCTTGGTTTGTTCAGAGTGAACAAACAAAAAACTATAATCGTGAATTACTTCAATTCATCATCACCGGCCTGACTACGTCCACTGCAACACATAGACTCCTCCAATGTTTCTCCAGTCTTACTTCAATTACTTGGGCTTCAATGTAGTTGTAGGTATCTATCAAATGCAGTCAATCAGACGCTACCAAGCAACATGCGATCTGCATTCAAAACAAGGCAAATAAAGAAGTCAAAGGTGTTGTTGAACAAAATGTCCGCCGTGGTTGTGCAGCCGTAACGGTGCCCTGCTACTGACCTCGATGTTGACGGTTCGACCCCAACTGTGGTGGGTCGCATTTCGATGAAGGCGAAACGCTAGAGCTCTGTGCACTGTGTTATGTCAGTGCACGTCAAAGAACACCAGATGGTATATATAACTACCGGAGCCTTCCACTCCGGCGTCACTCATAATCATATCCTGGTTTCGGGACGTTAAACCCCGGATATTGTTATTATGCTCAACAAAACGAAATCTTGACGAAAAGTTCGATTGAAAGAACCAGTGACAGCAGTACATCCTGATCCACGAATGGAACACAAATCATCCTGCAGGTACATGAAAGTTCACCAGTGCCAGATAAACGACATAGAAGGAAGCAAAAGGAAGGAATGAAAAAAAAAAAAAAGCTTCATTTTGTCCTGCGCAACGTGACGGGGTGGCGCAATAGGCAGGGACCGGAAAGCCAAGTCGTGCGACCACCTCGGGGGCCCGCTGGACAACCGTGAGCTGATCACTAGGCTAAAGCTACACTGTAGTAAAGCTGCGTAGAAGCGTGTCCCACTGCGGCAAGGCGAAGCTAGAGTGGAGCTACTCCATGGCTTAGCACGTGCGCAAGACGTGCTCTAATGTGGCTGTCTCCCCACATGCAAAGACATGTGAACGCGTGCAATGTCTCGTGGATTGAACACGGGTGTGTAACATATTAAATGGCAGATAGGTAAATAGCAATCACAATTATATTTTAAATATTGATTGGTAAGGATTCATCATAGAATAACGTTATGCGTACAAAGAGGGGCGCACGGAAAAAGTGAATGGATCACATGCGCATTGGATACGCATGCGAACTTATTTTTCTGGTGCGTGCTGAATCACAGGCGTTTTCATTTAAGGTTCCTTCCTCTTAAGTGAAATAGAATGTGGGATGTACCCCACAGCGCTTCCCCCTCTGTTAAGTCAACGTGTGGGGCAGACTTGGAAGTTTGCACTCACCCTTCTCTTACGTGACTAGTAGGAACGGCGACCCATCTGCCCCAACACCACCTGTAGACTACTGGTGTTCTTTGCCCCCCACCCCCTCTCCTCGTGCGTGCGCCAATGTGTTTGATACGTCCTCACAGCACTATACATATATGATACAACCAAGTTTTCAAGCAAGCCATGCACTCACAGAAAGCTGTTTTTACATCTTTCATGTAGTACACATTGGACTGGGGTCAAATCTCTGGACACACACTTGTGCTGCGCTTACACGTACACATTTTCGAGCATAGGCGTTCCATCGAAGTCTCAAGCGTGCTGTAGTGCTGCACCACCAGAGTTTACTGAGACCGAAAGCGCAATTTTACGACTTCAGGACCATTATTGCTTGCTTTCGAGCATTACATAATACTTATAGGACAACATAACCAGACAGCTGGTCAGAATGATGTTTAAATTACGCGCTGATGTGAGCGCTTAACGTTCTGTTACTGTATAATAAAACAGCGATGCTGAATATTTTTCTGCTTTTTACTACAACAAACTTATTAGCTTTACAAGGTAAACAAAATGTATGGGTTGTTAAGTGGAATTTCTAATTTTTGTTTTGCAATAAGTTGATTGCTGACTGCAGTGCAGTCGCACCAACATCAACATCGCCCGAAACCGTAATGGCGCAGCGCAGCGCTTACTTTCAAGACTTTCGAGCATGTTTCAGACATTTCTCAGTCGCCACCGATAAACCGAAGAGGAACTGATTCTGTGATACCGCTGTTTTAATGGCTAGCTGTCATAGTGAAGTATAGCGGTAGCGAGTCAAAACAAGGCCACATTGTTCTAACGTCATCTACGCACTTAATGAAATAGTCGCGCAAAGCTTGGATCAGAACGACATGACGGCATTGACGTTCAAGGATCGGAAGCTCGTGCTTGTCGAGTACCCGGCGATCGTTAAAAACACGGACAGAATGATGAAAAGCCTCGGTGGTATTGAAGAGATCTCCAAGGTAAGTCCGCGAAACGAACGCATGAGTGGTGCTGTGCGCTTGGAAGTCTGAAACTAACGTTTCGTCGCGTTCTCATTTAGACCTACGCAGACCCGACGCGGAGGCTGGAGATGAAGTTCAGGCCGGAAGATCCGTACTGCAAGAGCGCCTACGGCAACAATACGGACGTGTCCTGCCTCGTCTTGAAAGTGAAGAAGAACCGCGGCAACGCGGATGAACCGTACACCGTGACAATCGAAGGCACCATTTCTACGGCCTACAAATTTCGTGGTGAGTCCCCGCTGGTCAACATCGCCGGAATCACGGGCGTTGTGAACGTAGAGAACGTTAGCTAAACGGTTTTGTGTGCCGAAGCGACGATATGATTTAGGCACGATTTGACTGCGTGCAGCTGTTCAGCGTGCGTTCACAGGTGCTTTTGCATTTCGGCCCTCATGTAAATGCGGCTCCTGTGGCTGGTAAGCGAACCCGCGCTCGAGGGATTAGTAACTCAACGTTTTAGCTTCTTGGGGTGTAAAAAAAAAAAGTTGGCTGTCTTACGAAGTGAACACAATACTCATTAATTATGTACGCGAGAGGTAGAATCGATTAACTGAGTTACATCACAATGAGCAAAAAAGTGCCTGTAAGATATGACATGTAAGTGGTCATCAAAGGAGATGCCTTCACGCAGTGTAACCTGCTCTTACTTGTTCCACTGCACAAGTGACATAGTTAAGAAGCAAGCGGGTTAGTAGTGTAACTGCTATTCTACCGTAAATCGGAATATTGATCTCAGTTGGCACGCGTGTCATTTTACACGTAATCAACCGTGCAAAAGTTACTGAGACAAAGGTTGTATACAACAGGATTTGCCTCCTCGAACTGGGTTTTGTTTTTAGTTTATGTAGAGTGTGTTCAGCACAACCATGAATGTGTAGGCTGCATTTCAAGCAATGTTCAACTCGTGATAAAGCCCAGTGGCTGGGTTGCCACATGTGTTCTTTGTACACAATTTTCCGGAGGGCGGTTTGTTTTAGATGCGAGAGAATTGAAGAGCTCGCTTTGCAGAAATTTCAGTCTCAGCATCCTTGGTTGTCAGCAAAAGTTCGAGATAGGTGAAGCACTACTATGGAGCCATGCTCCATAGTAGTGCTTCGAAGTCTAAAACCATGTAATATTATGTGACAGAATCTTAGAATAACACCAGGGGTTATAAGGTGTGTATTTATTTATTTATTTCCATTTACCCTCAAGGCCAGAGGCCCTGAGGGTAACTGAGGCTTTGAGGGCATGAGGGTTCTTATAAAGAGGGGAGTGGCTACAAATATACAGGTCAAATACAAAATTGATGAAATGATACAGGCTGTTTGGTTCCTGGGTAAACAATATTAGCTAGTGCGGTACGAAAAAGTTGGTGGTCGACAACGATGGCTGTTAGTCTGGGAAGGTGGTTCCATTCTTTTGAAGTGCGGGGTAGGAAGGATTGGAGGCAAGTTGTTGTTCGGCAGGGCTGGATTCCAACTTTGTGAACGTGGTCTACTCCTGAGGAAATGTACACTGGTGGAAGTATGAGTTCGTTGCGCAAATGAGAACTGTGATGGAATAATTTATGAAACTGGCATAGGCGAGAAAATTGACGACGGGATGCAAGGGAAGGAAGGTTCAGTGTGTTTTTCATGGACGTTATGCTAGCGATACGGTTGTAGTTACACAGTATAAAACGGGCGGAGTTATTCTGTACTAGCTCTAAATAACTGATTAGGTTATCAGTACTGGGATCTCATATGGAAGAGGCATATTCTAATTTACTACGGACTAATGTTTTATATAATGTTAGCTTTAATGACATAGGGGCGGAAGAGAAATTACGCCTAAGATACCCTAACAGTCCGTTAGCACTGTTGATAATCGTGTTAATATGAAGTGACCAGGTAAGGCAGGAAGTAATATGAACACCAAGATAGCGGTAAGAAGTGACTGACTCGTGAGGGGAAGAGTTAAGGTAGTACGTAACAGGTTTAGATAAGGACCGAGAAATTCGCATTGATTTACATTTGGTAGTGTTAAGGTCCATTAGCCACGTGTCACACCAGTTTCAAATTGCGTTCATGTCAGTCCGCAGAATGTGAACGTCATTTATATTGTTAAAATCCCGAAATATTACACAGTCATCTGCGAATAAGTGAATGTTAGAAGACACCCTGATGGAAGGTCGTTAATATATATTAAAAACAAAAGCGGACCTAAAACTGAACCCTGAGGGACGTCGGAATGAACAGTACTAGAAGGGGAGTTACAATTGTTAGCGGAAACAAACTGCGTTCTGTTGCAGAGAAAGTGCTCCAGCCATGTTAAAAGATCGCGACCTAGATTTAATTTGCTTAGTTTAAGGAGTAATAGCTTTTGTGATACCTTTTCAAATGCTTTGGAAAAATCTAAGAATATACAGTCTGCCAGTGAACAACGATCAAGGATGATGTTAAGTTTATGAGTAAAAAGAAATAAGTTGGGTTTCACAAGTGATAGCTGTGCGGAAGCCATGTTGGGCGCTGGTAAAAAAAGAGTTAGTTTCGAGAAATTTTACAATGCTTGAGTAGAGAATGTGCTCCAGTATTTTGCAAGGAATGCTAGTTGACAAGTGGTTGGCAAGAATTGAGTGACAAGTGGTTGGTTTGAAGCTGCCGACATACCCATTACAAAGTGTATAGGTGTGCGTGGCACCTTACGAGCACGTAGTGGAACTTTACCAATTTGCAAAAGAATTAATTATGGTTTAGTGGACATTTCACAACTCTACTTGCAATAGGCATTCTAAAACAGTTTGGAACGGCCTTGGTTACATGCACAAATATTTCTTTCCTTGTGACATCATTGAAGGCAGTGCATGCTGGGCCTATTTACTTTATCATGTTAGTATGTTAGTATGTTAGTTTATCATGTTAGTATATCATGTTAGTGTATTTACTTTATCATGTTACTCTTGAAGGTAATGCTCCAGTGTCCTCAACTTTTCCATTTCTCTGTGCATTTGTTCACCACTGTGTTTCTTTTCAGGCATGGTGGATTTCCAGTATTTACCCATGAGAAGAAAAGCAGATGGAACTGGGTACGAGTCTTTGCTCGACCAGCTCATTCCACCGCCCATGTCATCAACAGACTGGCTAATGAAAGACGCGCCGGTCTTCATACTGCCCCAAGTGTTCTCTCGTCTTGACACCATGTCAATACAGGCTCTCCGAGACGAGCCAAAACGACGTGAGCTGGCGTCGGGGACACCGTTCCGTCCGAGAAATGCCATGATTGGCCGAAGTAAGTCGCCCTACTTGCAGTGAGGCTTGAAGCTGAGAAATGAGTGCAAATATATTGCGGAACGACGCAAAGGCACGCCATAAGAAACTGAGCCAAGTTCGTGATTTTTTTTTTCTTCCTTCTTGTTGTTTTAGTCGTGAAAAAAACAGGAAAAATTCCAAAGTTTGACAGCACCCTGTCTCTGGCTGAGAAAGCGCACGCTGTTAGTGGAAAGGGATACACAAGATAAAAGAACAAATTGCTTACTGACACTTCGACTCCAAATACGGGTGTGTCGTTCGCAATAACGGCCATAAGAATGACACAGCTTACTCAAGTACACATAAGTATGTGATGTAAGCAGCGAGGGTACACTGTTGGTGGTGTTCTGTAGCTCCTTTTCAGCATATGCATACTCATCTGTGTATGCAAAGATTCCAGGTACAGGCACTATGCAACATTTTTTTTTTCACCAGAACACGCCGACTTGACCAATGAGTATTGTGGCCTGTAGATTACACGTGTTCGACAAGGGCATTAGAGGGCACGTTTCATTTCATAACGTCATATCTACGCTGTTTCACTTTTTTCTTGAAGTCTCTTGTCTCACCGATACAGTACTTGTTGTCACGGTCATGGCAGACTATGCCGTAAACAACACTGGGGAAATTTCCACTCAGAAGCTTGTCCTTTACGTTTACTAAGGCGTTTCTTAGCTTCTGCGTTAGTGCATGTGCGATTTCGACGATAGATAGACCTGTGCATGATGTGTGCGATGATCTCACTTGTTCTAGATACATACAGGACGGCTATTCCCATTTTCAGAGACTGCATTGAAGGCTGCCTATGAGGCAGCGATAGTTGTTTCAATACTGAGGGTGAGAAGGACTGGAATTATCTATACATTTTTAATTATCCAGAGCTGCTTTCACGGTAACGGTTGTAGTCGTCGTGGCTTGTAAAAATATTTCTCGCTTGGCATAGGTTGGCAAAAGCAAATGGAACTCGCTCAGACTCACTCAACAGATATACCTTGCCCTTTGGACTCACTCGCACTTAGACTCGCGAAAATCGTTCCGAGTCGGACTCACACCCACGAAAATTTTCTTCAGCCAGACTCGCTCGGATTCAAATTCACCGAAATATTACGCACCCGCACTCACTCGGACTCAGATTGATCGAGCAGTGAGTCTCAGTGAGTACAAGTGAGTCGGCTCACGAATCAGTTCGCCAACCTGGGTCACTCTGGACAGAAGGTATTTGTGAATGCGGATGCACTGAAGTGAAATGTAGGTACTGGTGCTTGGGAACAGGTTATATTTGTGAATTCGGATGAACTGAGTTAAAATGTAAGTACCGGTCTGTTTGTGTAGAATTCCTGTAGACATTGAAAGTCTGGCTGGTGTTCCCTCATTTGACTAGAACATGGTAGACAACCATTGGTTTCTTGCTTGACAGTAAACTGATTCACCTTCTCAACGCTGCTCAGGTGTATTTTGACAAAGCATGGTTTACACTTGAATACGGGCGCTTGAAGAAAAATGGAAACAACGCAGATGGTGACCTATGTTTTCCTCTCGCTTCTAGTGTTTTTGTGCACACCATATTCTATCAAAAATTAATGCATACCCACTAGGCGGATTATCCAGGCTACTGTTCAGTTGGGCAATGAAAGCAGTGAGGGAATTCAGGTCAAGTTCTGTGCTACCAGAAGGTGCCACAGATGCGACAGCTCCAGCGTATTCTTTGGTTGACGAGCCAGTTCGAAGCCGTGTGTGTCGATGCCTATGATTTCGCCCGCGTGCGCATTTGGGCTGGCAACGTCTACATATTCTATCTGTTTTTTCTCCACCCTCGCTTGCAGTGATCCTTGACTGTTGCCATTTTCTTTCTGATTTCGGTTCATTTTGATAGTCTCCTACAACTTCTAACACAACCTTAATATCATCATTGTTGTCCAGTGTAGCACATATAAAGCCATTATGGGGTGGAATGAAGTTCTCGAATGGTGTTGTACTACTTTAGCTATTGCATGTTAATGTCACAGGTTTGAGACTCAAATAGGTTTTCTATGTGTGAGGGGAATTCACAAAACTTTTCATAGACGGGCAAGTTTTGCAACCGCGCGTAGACATGCTAGCAGGTAAGAGGGTATACTGCGATCATTACTTCAACATTGGGAGAAGAGACTGTGAGAATCTGCAGGCCGTAGTAGGTTCAGTTAGCATTTTGTTTGTGTGTTATTGTTTGAGTGTTGGCTTCATGTATATAAAAAAAAAATCTTTTACGTGCATTGGTCTTGTACAAAAATACTGTTGCCTTCCCATAGGTTAGAAGCATGTTCACTGAAACTGTTTCGCACATGTAGTCTATATTCTGCTTTCCTAAATCTTCGCACCAGTGTTGAAGGGACACTAAAGAGAAACAATTTCGTGGTTTAAATTGACAAACTGCACTCTGAGAACTTTAATGCCAGCTGTTTCATTATCACAAGTTGATTATTAGCGAAGAAAATTGAGATTGAAGTCTCATTTTAAAATTTTGCGCCGAAATATCCGTGCAGGACATCAAAATTTTCAAACTGTATTTTCGTATTTTACCACATTGGCTCGATCAAATCTTCTCAAACATTGTATTCTAGGTCTATGGCACCGACAGATGACAATATACTTAATTGTTATTGATGGTAAGCTATGCAGGACCCAGAAGACACCTTCAAAATCTACGTCATCACAGGCCCGGGGTTTGAGTGCGGGAATCGCAAGGTGGCACCTCTACTCGTATTTTCTTTTTGCGCGTTTTCTAGCTTCCCAAGCATTGCGTTGCAGTAAGAGTGGTGTTTTCAGAATTGTGAAATTCTACTTTACTAACAAATAAAAGCATTTTTTGCTCTTAACTATTCCTTTAAGGTAACAGTAATGAGGTAAGGCTGTGAACCTAAATAAAGGCTAAAAGAAACAATGAACTGGTTTTGATTGAACACTTGTATTCTGACAACACTAATGTTCTTGATTTCACTATCATAGGCTTAGTAATGAAAATGAAAAGCAAGTTCACAGTTTAATCTTCGAATTTTGCGATGAAATCTTTACACTTGAAGTCATAGATCACAAAGTGTATATATCGTAATTTGGCATCATTGGCTCCACAGAATTAATTAAAACTTGGTATGTTTATTGTGTGGCCCTCTCAGAGAACACTTCACATGGTTTTCACTGGTTACAAACTACATAGGCCTCAGTAGGTGTCGTCAAAATTACGTATGTGACGTCACTGCAAATGGGACACAAACTTCATTGTAGTGTCGTCACCCACATCTTTTTGCACGTTTTCTTGCTTGCTAATCGTCGTCTTGCCGCAAGCCTGGTGTTTTTGGCACCACGAAAGATCAATTTACCAATACAATAAAAGTCGTTTTGCTCTTTAGTGTGCCTTTAATGCAAAACCTTTTATTATTGTGCTAACTAAATATAGATGTGCTCCATTCAACCTGCCTAATCAGGTGAAGTTGACCGCACTTTGTTGTGGACAACAGCAGCCATTGACAAATTACATTTTTAACGGGATCGTGAAACAAACTGGCTTCACTAGAATCGTGAAATTGAGTAGAAAGCTATTGTGATGAAAACCCATTCATAATGGTTGTAGCTAGGTAAAAGCATTTTTTTTTTTGTGTGTGTGGGACGTGTTACAGCTCGTGACCGCCGTGTGAAGTTTGCTTGCTTCCTAAATTTCGACGAGGAAGACGTGCCTACAGAGCCAAATCCAGAGGCCTGGAAACAGTTGGAATGGCGTCCTCCAGATGTGAACATCAAGCAAAGGGTTCAAGCGGTAAGGTTTGCTCACACTGATAACATTATTAAGAGTGAAGGAAAAAACGTGCATTTCATTAAGCTTGCCCACTTTTCTGCTCAATGCATTAACTCTTTGAGAGCAAACTCATATGTTTCTGTCACTAATAGCACTAACACAGTTCTGGCTTTTGGTAGACTGATAGAAGTTGATGTAAATTATTTTGTTGCAGCGTTAGTTCTGAAGTCATTTGGGAAGTTACCAACTCATAAACACTGCTACTGCGAAAAATTGAACACACATTTGGGTTGCCCAAAAAAAGACACGAAGGAAGGAGAGTGATGGGAAGATCACTCTCCTTTAAAATGAACCGTGAGCTAATAATAATAACTCCTTTGCTTTATGTGCAAAAAACACAATGTTATTCTGAGGTGACATGATTATTTGTAAAGAGCTCTGCAAATTTCAACCACCTGGAGCCCTTCAACGTGCCCCGGAGTGTAATTACAGGGGTCTTTATCATTTCGTCTCCATCGAAACTTGACCGCCGTGGTCGATATTGAACCCGTGACCCTCGGGTCAGCACTGGAGCACCGCAACTACTATACCACCACAGCAGCCTTGAAATGCGAGCTAGTTTAAGGAATGTTAGGACGTGCGTTCAGTTCACCACTGTTACGACTTTGTCATGTCAGCATAATTCTAGATTGTTTAGTACTTTGGGGCCCACTCTGTCATCTTTATGAAAGGGGCCCTGCAACTTTCTGTACATAGCTTGAGAATTTCACCCATCGTAACTCGGGCCTCCTGTGAACACGTGAGCTAATTGTTGCACTGTCTGATGTGGGGAATATAGTTAAGTGTGTTCTTAGCAGCGTCATTGCTTAGTATGCAACCGTAAGGAGCACGTGAACTCTGCAGGTAGCTTATATCATGAATGCGCTCTCAGTGAGAGAGAAGATCTCCGAGGCTGTGCGGTCTGTCATATGGGTGCCACAGCCAGAAGTAGGTTGTCAGAAAACTTCCAATGATTCATTCTCCTTGGCGAAGTCGTGATTGAAGCATAAGCCTCTGCCATTCATTTACAGCATTGAGTGGTGTGACTGCTGAAGCCAGAGTTATTAAAAAACTTTTTAATAGGGGTCCCAAAGAAATGGAGTCGAAGTCGCTGCATATTCGTGAGACTGGAATGCAGAGCTCAGCGAAAAATGTTGAGCTAACTCAGACTCACTAACAAAATATATATGGCCCTAGGGCTCACTCGGGCTTCAATGGACCTCATCACTAAAAATTTCCCTAAGCCGGAGTCACTTGGACTCGGACGCGCTAAAACATTTTTTTAACTGGACCCACTCGTACTTAAACTCGACAAGATATTACTCACCAGGGCTCATTGACACTCAGACTCAAAGCTCTATTTTAGTCTTAGAGAGTTAACTTATGAGCCCATCCACGTATGATTAGCTTTGAGACCATAGTGCAGGAGTGGAAGTGCTGCACCAATTGCGCCATTCTGCATCAATCTGACCTGCTGCGCCGGGCTGCACATAATTGGCTATTTCCGCAATAATTGTCAATTGGAAGCGTAAACCGCCAAATCCAGCTGACTATTATTGTCAACCGAGCAGCACTGAGGGTCGGTTACACAAAGGAAGTGGCCACACTCATGTCCAGGGTAGTTCGTTGGTGACACGTACATAATGCGGTTTATCCGTGGGGCTTGCTAGTGCTCGTCTAATCGCTGTGATTGCCGTGGTTTCCCCACAAATGTGGTGGCACCACCATGAGTAAGTGTGAATCGATATCTAGTAATGTAGTGAAACTTCGATCATTTGTCCCTGCTGGGAACATGGCATGATCATGCACTAAACGGCAATGCGCGTATACAGGTACAAACGTGCATCTTCTGACGTGCGCCATCACCACCAATAAACAAATACTGTATCACAGCAGTTGTTACCCAAAGTTCTTACCAAAGTATTTGCTTCCTTTTTGCCAAAGTGCCAAAAAAAAAAAAAAAATTGGGCTGGCACTCTTGCACGATCGTTTTATAGCGTGCAGTGGCGATGCCAAGGAGCATTTCAAAACTATTACAGGGTCCAAAATACGCAGCGACTAAGATACAGTAGTTGCAGAGCGGATATTGTTCACTTTCCGGGATACATATGTGCGCTTCTCTACTGCTATTTTACACCAAGCAACAACTGACACTTTCATTAAAACACAGAGCGGTTGCGTGGACTCGATCATCTCCTGGTTAGTTGCATGCTACGTGGCACCTCTGCTGCCCACACCGTCTCTGCTGGGCGGCTCACTGTACCAAGCGCATAATTCGCCGTATGAAGTCATCGTCCCCACTCTGCTCCAGACTAAGCACAGATGAACAAAGTAGTTTGTTTAATTAGCGTGTGGATTTCAAACTTCTGCCAAGTGAACAAGAGATAAGCATCGCTTATCCCTTCTTTTCTCGGAGTTATTTCTCTGTCTGCTGTGATGTTCAATGATGGGAGCATGTGAACACACACATATTTGTGGGTGGTAAGTCTGGTCAGCTCATCAGTACTGAATGTTTAGTGAAAATATAGAAAATTCCTTTAGCAGTTCTAAATAATTTCAATTGACAATGATGTTTGACCCTAAAAAGTTGCTTCCAATTGGCCCTAAAGCTACCATTTTACTGCGCCAAAGCTGCCCCAAAACAGAATTATTCCTGCTTCCTGAGCTGCTTCAAAACACTGAAATCTACTTCCACCCCTGCCATAGTGCCAATGATCTTTTAACACCAATATGCCGCATAATTAGTGGTCTCCTTGGTCCCCACAGGGGCGTCTGCGCAAGCAGGCGTTTGGTGCTTGGCAACACTACGGACCCGAGCCAATGGTGGGGGGGGGGTTTCGACTCCCTCCCACGCCTCGTCGTGCGTGGCTTAGCTGTGTCGAGGAAAAGAGAATCCTATAAGTTGAGCCGATGCAGGGTGATAGGACGTTTAAGGCCACCCGGCAGAAGCAACACACCCCTTTGGCCCCGGCTTCACGCAGACGGCACCCCTGGGCTGACCCACCCAAGGGAAATCGACAGTCACCTCTTCCTATCTCTCTCTTTTTTCATCTTCAACTTTTTCTCACACTTTTTATTTGTCCTGTCGTCTTCTTTCTTCCATTTACTTCCAAATTTCCTGGCGGCGAGGGTTAACCTTGCGTAGGTATCCAACCTTGGGTAAATACATTAGGTTATAGCGGCGATGCGTGGCTGGCATCTCCAAGTGTTTGTGAATTAACTCTGTAGCGTCCCTTTGTTGGGCTCGGTGGTGGGTAACCACCATTGCTGCCGAAATGAATACTCTCCATATGGCAAATGCTTTTCCCCCTTTCCTGATAACTCCCTCAAAAGGCGGCGCACCGAAGAAGCAGTCACCCTGACCAAACCAAAGAAGAGCTTGCCAAAGTATCATGTCATTCATAGTGAAAACGAAAAGAAGAAAGTCCGAGCGATTTCACCGTTCCTAGTGTCAAAAACTCTAACGGAAGAAATTGGCCCAGGGTATGAAATCACAAAGATGGAAAGTGGCAACCTCATTGGAGGTTCGAGACAAAGCACAGACAACAAACTATTCAGAGTTGTATCATCTGGGGACACTCCTGTTTCAGTGGGCCCACACAGGTCTATGAACACTGTCCGTAGGGTAATTTCTGATGATGACCTTGTCGATCTGAGCGAAAGCAAACTGTTAGATGGATGTCAAGATGAAAGCGTGAAGGTACAGAGAATAATGACGAGGCATGACAAGAAACAGACCCCTACAAAACACATAGTAATCGCCTTTAGAACAAGTGGCCTTCCAGAATCAATAGAAACCGGCTATTTCAAGCTGCGTGTAAGATCATACATGCCCAATCCTCGTTGATGTTTCAAGTGCCAATGTTTCGGGCATGGATCGCAGAGTTGCAGAGGGCGCGCCACTTGCGCGAAGTGTGCATCCATTCAACACATATCCGATGACTGCAACTCAGAAGCAACTCATTGTTCGAACTGCGAACGAAATCACCCTGCCTACCCACAATCATGCCCCATATGGAAAAAAGAGAAACAAATAGTAGAACTCAAGGTCAAGTTCAGTCTGTCATTCCAAGAGGCACGTAAGCGTTTCGTACATCACAACCCCTCTTATCCCTCCTTCACAGATGTGAAGCGCCATGGCACAGCGTCACATGTTTCTGCACCCGCGAATGTCACACAGAGTGTGGCTGCGATCGTTGAATCAGCACGCCCGGCTGGAGCAGCCTGTACTGCTCCGCTACTTGAAAAACAGGGCCGGCAGACTACCGTGTCTGCTGGAACCCTGACCACTGCAAACGCACTTAGGTCTGAAAGTTCTGTGAATGTGCCTGCCGAGCAGGCACCATCCACCATCTCAAAAGAGGCAATGGATACAAGTCCCACTTCTCCGGTGACTCAGGCCCTGAATGATAGGCGCAACTCTTTGGAGCATGCCAAAAAAGAAAAACTCCGAAATAGAGGGCCTTCCAAAGGCCCTGCAATCTAAGGCAACACTTTTTGTACACACAGCACCACACATCATTAAAATGACACAAATACTACAATGGAACGTCACAGGACTGTTAAGGAACCTCGACGATATCCAGAAACTTTTACACAAACATACATCAACTCTGCTGTGTATACAAGAAACACTCTTAAAATCTAAACACACCAACTTTTTACGCAATTACATTATTTTTCGAAAGGACCCAGATCATGCGGTCGCGTCATCCGATGGTGTTGCCATTATAGCTAATAAAGGAACAGCCTGTACACATCTACTGCTTCAAACATCTCTTGAGGCAGTGGCTGTTCGAGGTGTTATATTCAACAAACTAGTGACAATTTGTATTTTCATAACTCTGCATCACCAACTTAATAAACACGAATTCCAGTCTCTAATTGATGAACCTCCAGAGCCGTATGTTCTCGGAGACTTCAATGTGCATAGCAGTTTATGGGGAGACTCGCGGTGCGATGCTCGAGGTCGTCTAATTGAA